ACAACCTGGGTTGAGGTAACCTATACGTGATTGTTATTTGAAATTACATGATGACATGCGTGGTAATTAATTAAATACATGAGTGGTATGAATATATATATATATATATATATATWTATGGAAAAGCTGTAAATATGAATTATACGTGCATATATGTAATGTGAAATATGCATGAGGTTTTATTATTTTAATATATGAAGATGTAATATCTTCACTATGAAGCAAAGATGATTTTAAAACAATATTTTCCACCGCCTAGGACTATTTTATAAATAAAATAGTGCACACCGCCTTGTGACTATATATAAATATAAAAAGAAAGGGATAGGGTTCTGTCTTATCACTTTTCAAAGAAACCTGTTTGGAAGAGAAAAAGTGTTTGAGGCGGTGAAGAGCATTCTTGAAGAAAATTGTTGTTTTAAAAGTGCTTGAAGATTCTGTGATTTGTTGTGTGTTAAACTTGCATAATCTATGATTGTTAAGGTGAGTTTTGATAAACTAAAACCTTTATATTTGCATATATATATATATATATATATATATATACTGCTGGGTTTTGAGAATTTACGATTTAGAAATAGTTTGGTAAAACTGTTTTCTAACAGTTTAAACGAAGTGTTCTTGATTATGGAGTTTGAAATTGTTTTGGGAAGATGAAACAGTAATTGTGTTTTAAAACRATTTTGGAAGATGATATTYTGTTTTAAAGGTTTTAAAAGAAGTTTGATATATGGAAAATTATGAAAGAACAGATTGTTCTTGAGCTTGAAGGTTTTGATGATAAAGATGTTTTTGGAAACCATTATTGGYTGAAAACTATAGAGGATATCTCATCAAGACGGTTGTGACTTCGGGCTGTCTTCGTTTCGGATTAATCTATAGATTTTATRGATAAAACTATGGAGGATGTTTTGTTAAAACGATTGTGACTTCGGTCTGTCTTCGTTTGGAACTAATCCATAGATTTTGATGAGGAAATAAGGGTGGCATATCAAGAAGAGGTGTACCTTCGGATATAAGGGTGGCATACCAAGGAGAGGTGTACCTTTGGATATAAGGGTGGCAATTGTATGTGGATATTATAGCTCATGCTATTATGTCTTTTAAGATTACAATAGATTTGAGTACTTACTTCTTTGTGATTTGAGGACTTASAGATGTTCTTATTGGAGATAATGGTATTGATTTATTGAGAAGGAGAAAACTTGGCCTGTAGCCATTGATTTTGGATAAAATCTGTTTTTGATCAAGTGATTGATTTTAGAGGAACCAGAGAGAGACTCTAGTTGTTCCTTGAAAAGGGCCAGAGGGGCTCTAGTTGGTCCTCCTTGTAGAACCAAAGGGTTCTGGACGTTGATCTAAGAAATTATGCAAGTCTTTACTAAATGGTTTAGTTGGACCAGAGGCTCTGTATCTATAGATAAGAGCTTCTGTGTCAAAATCATATTTTAAGAATTTTCAAGAAAGGGTTTTATACTTGGGAAGTTTTCTTACAAGTAAGATGGACCAAAAGATCTGGTTGGCCTATACGGATTGGACCAGAAGCTCTAGTTGGTCTTACACTTTGAACCARAAGCTCTGGTTGGCCTACGCGGGTTGAACCAGAAGYTCTGGTCAAGTCTTGCGATTTGAGCCAGAAGCTTTGGCTAGTAGAATCAGAGGTCTGGTCATACAAGATCTTTTCAAAAAYGTATTTTTATCTATGGAAAAGCAATTTTTAATATCGATGAGATTGACCTATGAATTATTAAGAATTTTCACCAAGTAAGAGGAACCAGAGGAGCTYTGGTCCTCTTGGTTGTTGAAATATTTTCTAAGTCTGTCTATGGAACCAGAGGTCCGATGGACTCCAACAGATTATGGATTTATATATGTTAAGATGTGAATGCTTTTTATTTGATTAAATGTTTTGGTGATTATCACCCTGCAACTACATGGAAAAAAGGGAAATCTCACAAAACCTCTAGGTCTAACCCTCAGTTTTTTGTTTTCAAATATGTGTTGTAGGAAATGCAGATTATAATGATAGTAAAGGAAAAGGGAAAATTTGAATTATTTCCCTATGTGCTTAGCTTTGTGGAGATCATATTTGGTTATGTTTTGAAGATTAGATGTTATGAATACAAAAACATGTATTTTGAAATTTTCGAGTTGTGTATTTTGTATTGTAGACTCTTGTATTATGGACCTTTGTGGGCCTGAACATGTATTCTATGAATGAAATATGTGTTATATGCAATGTGAGTTTTGGGKGTGTTACAGAAACGCGTGAATATCACAAAGAATACAAATACTACCTCAAAAGCTAAAAGACAAACCATCAGTTGTGTATGAACCAAACATCGAATTGTCTCGATCAAGARTATTGAATCCAGGAAATTCGTTAGTGTCTTGTATCCAGTGTTTTACGTGACTAGAAAAAAGGGTCAAGTTTTAGAGTTTTAATGAAACTAACTTTCCGAATCTATTCTTAGAAGACTAGGAACACATGTATCATTATATCCGCAACCAGGCTGTCAGATTGGAAGGAGTTGTCAGAGGGATTAAAGCTATCAAACGGTACCTTAGGTGTCATATCAAGCTATCTTCAGTGATTGATGTGCAAATGGGGTATGAAAGTAACCAAAAGAATGTCAACTTGAAGAAGCCAGATGAAGAACTAGAAAACATTGATGGCTACCCTCTRTACATGATTTTTGAAGATCTGGAGTTCAGGGTGATATATGAAAATTCTGAGAAAGTTAAGAAGTTTCTAAGGTTCAACGAGCTAAATAAGTATTGTGATGGAACAATCAAGATTGTGAGGAAAGAACTAGAAGGCAGAAAGGCTCTTGATGAAAAAGTTATCGTAACAAATTAATTCTGAGGGAAAGGTTCTTACRTATTAGTGCCCTGGAGCTGCTCRATGAGAAGATACAGTATCAGAGCAATAAGAAGGTGTGAAACAAACTTGGGCTTCAGAAGATCAAAATTTACAATATTTCGTGCTTAAATCCAAAGGGGGAGAATGTTGGGTTTACGTTTRTGCTTTAAAGTTGTATTCAAGCTAGTTTCTCCATTGTAATTTTGTATTGTAATGTCCTTCTATAAATAGCATTGCCTTTGTAATTTTTGAGGTACACTTTCACTTTCAATATTATACTACTTTCAGGATTCATGTTTTGCCATTTTTGTGTTCTTGATCTTGTATGAAGATTGGTTAATCAATCTGGGATTTTCAATTCAGTACTTGATCTCTTTTTTCRGGGTCGCTTAAAAGTAAAAACAGACCCCTCAAAGTATTTTTTTTTCACAAACTTTTAGCAAGCCTTTGACRTTCTAGAAAACAGAAGCACTCGAGAGCCGATAATCMTTTTCGAAGGGCAGAATCTAAGTATAGTGTCRAACAAGTAGGTGTAACTGTTAAGTTCTACGGTGGTGAACTCAATGGAGTTAGTTATAGTGATCCTGTTACTGTGAAAAAATATGCTAGACGCGCATATTTAATTAGAGTTCTATGGTTCAGAGTATCCTTTCCTATTTGATCCYTTTGAATTCCATATTCGAAGTTGTGATCGAATCTATTCAGTAAAAARAATCGATTTAATACATTTCTTATGTACCTATGGGTGTTATGTTGGATTTGAATCAGATTTCAGATCAATCTATATTGATTGACTGCCTCCATTATGTTGTTKYTAGCAAATACCACAATTTAGGTGAAAGTATGGAAAGAGAGTAATTCAACCCTCGATACGCAAAAGCCTACATAGCAGTTCCAATGCTACGCCTTCAACCACTCGGCTATCTCTCCTACATAATGATTATGACCCAAAAACCAAAAACCGAGTCGATAGTGGATCATTCATATTAGATTATTAGGTAGGTACAACCAATTAATTCTAACTATAAAAGCGATAAACATCGAAAAAATTTAATCATAGTAAAACTGGGATCTCTCCTTCTAGGCTGGAGAGATAAAGAGAACATTGTTTTCTTAAAAAAAAAACTGTTAAAAAAATTTTGTTCATGTTTGCAAAACCAATGTTCCCTTCTTTTTTTGATAATCTATTTATACTATGTCGGATTAAATCAATAAATTATAAATTCTAATGAATCGACTGAGCGAGGGATCTATATTTTGTAGACTATGGTTAATGGGCATGTTTAGATCATGATTCTATTTAGATCTGGAGATTCYCGAATAGGTTAACGTTTCAAACTGTTGCTGAACCCATGGGCAGGCAGGAGACAACCTGGCAAACTGAAACATCTTAGTAGCCAGAGGAAAAGAAAGCAAAAGCGATTCCTGTAGTAGCGACGAGCGAAATGGGAGCAACCTAAACCGTGAAAAYAGGGTTGTGGGAGAGCAATACAAGCGTCGTGCTGCTAGGCGAAGCAGTAGAATGATGCACCCTAGATGACGAAAGTCCAATAGCCGAAAGCATCACTAGTTTACRCTCTGACCCGTGTAGCATGGGGCACGTGGAATCCCGTGTGAATCAGCAAGGACCACCTTGCAAGGCTAAGTACAATAACAAGTAGTAGTACCGTGAAGGAAGGGTGAAAAAAAAACCCCATGGGGGAGTGAAATAGAACCTTAAACCATAAGCTCCCAAGCGGTGGGAAGAGCCCAKGGTTCTGACCACGTGCCTGTTGAAGAATGAGCCGGTAACTCATAGGCARTGGCTTGGTTAARGGAACCCACCGGAGGCGTAGTTAAAACGAGCCTTCATAGGGCAATTGTCACTGCTTATAGACCCAAACCTGGGTGATCTATCCATGACCAGGATGAAATTAGGGTAGATAAAAAGTCTATAATTTACTAGTTCATTTTATTTGATTATATTCGTTCCTCAATCTATTTAAACCTATTATTCTACCACTCTATAGGGTATTTATAAAGCTAATTATGTAACTCTAAGTACCCTTTGGTAATTTGCCTCCCATGTKCATTTAATATGACCTTCTATCAATTAACAGCTAGTTTTACAAACGACTTAAAAAATATGACAAAAATGTGAGCAAAAGTTTGCACTTGTTGAGATTGATTTGATTCCAATACATAAAATAAAATACGTACATACAAAAACACAAAGGTAGAATGACAACCCCCTCTCCTTTAGGGTTGTTTTATCAAGAACATGAACATATTCATATCTTCTTGCCTTCCTAAAAATCATTTCAAGAACAATTCTTTTAATCCTCAATCAATACATTGTCTTGAATGGCTTATAGATCTTCAAATCAATAACCACTCCGGCAAATGAACCAGCGGCCGCGCATACCGATATTATCAAACATGCAACACTAAGGATTTGTAGTGATACCCATTGGGTACTCCATTTCGGGATCTTCTTCTGAACAATGTACATTTCCACTGGAAAATAGACCGTTAGCGGCCAGAACCCAAACGCTCCTAAGATCCCAACAACATCGTTGAAGAATGGCATCAACATTGCTACAAGTGTAGTTAGGCACACAAAGAGGGTTCTCCAGACCAACCGAAACAAGTTTAGTTTGTAAGGTTTGTATCCACCGATTGGGATCGGGATATCGACGGTGTTGTTGATGAATTTGCTTTCTGGGAAGTATCTGGCAGCGGTGTTTTCTACGAATGCGAATAAGGGTTGGCAATACACCTGGTAAGCCCCAACAAGGTGGATCACAATGGCAGCATTGGCAATGTCGAGAAGCCAGTACGGGTTGTAGAAACCAAAACCGGTGAGGAGGTTTCCAGGGGCCATGTCTCCGAACGCGGCATACCCAAAGCATCCACAAAACATGTAGAAGACCGTTGTTGTTACGACGCTTATGAAAGTTGCTCTTTTCATGGTTTTGTGCTCTGCCGGTGGTGATTTGATTGTATCCTGAATATTATCACACAAAAAATTTAAAATTTTCATTAGTTTATGTTATTTTCTTTAAATATATAATATTTATATACGACAAAATTTACTCATATGTTTAAACCTTTTCATCTCTTAGGAGACTTGGGGTTTACTTGTAGCCCGGATGTCACCATGTGAATGACCATTTATGTCAATTTTTAAACACCAAAAATATCAAATGATAATCTAAAAAAATAATAGTAAAATACCTGAATTTCTATGAGGATGAGGGAATAAGAATAAGCAAAAGCAATGGCTCCAAGTGCTTGAAAGCTCCTCCATATTTTCTGAGTTTGAGTCACTCTCCCAATGCTTATACCAGTAAGGCTTCCCTTGATTTTTTTATTTTCTGGTAATTAAACAAATAAATAATTAAATATTAGTTTTCTTATACAAATTATATGTTATCTTTTGACTTTTTAAGGTCAAACTTGGTATCTTTTGAATTGAAATATGGCATGGATCCTTTTCATTTTTTTTTTTTTTTGCACCAAATCTTTATTTTGTAACAACTACTTCAGATTTCAACTGTTGCTTTAAAACTTTTGAAAAAAACCATGAGTTTTTCACAATTGTTTCAAGTTAAATAATTGCTCATTTGACCCTAGAAGTCAGTGGTTTGACCAACTTTTTGACTTGTTAAAGTTACCTGCAACTTTGGAAACTCCGAGGCCAAGACCAATGGTGGAATAAGTGAAGGACATAACCGCAGCCAACATTGACAGCCATGAAATCTGATCAAAATCTGGAATTTGAGAGAAGAGGATTTCTACAACACCAAACATGATCATGTATGGAGTCCCTGAAACTCCACAGGGATTCTGGTGACCTTTTTCATGGAAACAACTTGATCTCTTTATTGCTCTGTTTTCATGAATCCAAGAACACAAATTAGAATTTAAATCTTGAGTTCATTGTTCAAATCTTGAAGGGAAAAAAAARGTTTTGGAGTTAGAGATACCCACATCATGCTAATGGAAGCTGCAATGGTGTATCCGATTGCTACTCCGACAAGATTGAAGTACTGAATAAACCCACAAATTTTCACCTGAAACCCACCTGAACATTTTCGATGTATGTTATAATTAGCATTCAATTCATTCGGAAAACACTTTTTTTGTTATAAAAATCAGATGCAAAAGTACCAAGATTGTTCTGAACAGCTTCCATGTAAGTGTAGTTCCGTTTGCCGGAAACAGGGTCGCCGGAGCGGTAACAGGCGGCGAGAAGGCAAGAAGTGTAGTAAGTGACAAAGGAGAAGAGGAAAAGAACGGTGGGTCCGGCGACCCAACCGAGCTGAGCCGTGGCCCACGCCAGTGATAGCACGCCGGAGCCTATGACCGCCGTTATGATATGTGCACTAGCAGTCCAAACAGTCCCTATTCAATTCCGACACAAAACAGAAGTCCGAAATCAGTAAGCAGTCAAAGCTGACTCATTTGACCACAAAAAGTCAAAATTACATCCCAAAAAGTTACCAGATCTTTTGAGTCGTCCGTCGTCATCGAAGCACTTGGACGGTGCCTGAGGAGCGAAACCTCCGCCGAGATCGAATGCTTGTTGGTGCTTTCCGGCAGCGTTTTCACCCATCTTTTTGAACAATTTCCACAACCAAAAAGGGATATAAAAATCAGAACTTTCAATTAAATTTGATAACAATAATTCTGGAACTTTGTGTAGAATTGAAGTCAAAACTGGTGCCGATTCTCGAGAGAAATTGGAAATCCCAAGTGGGATAATTCAATTCAGATGAGATGAATAAATGTAGAGAAATTGAGTTTGTTTTCAAAGGAATAGAAGATGGAGATGGAGGGAAGGATGTGAAATTGAAGGTGGGATGGAAGGGTTTATATAAAACTCTGTGGTTATGGTGGAGTGTGGGTGCGGTGGGCAAGATGGGAGGGAAGACCAAGGAACATCACGTGTCCAAATGTCCAAATATATATATATATTAAATAAAATAGTAAAAAGAAAAAAAAACCAGAATTAGACCCTAGTCGCCGACTTGTGTTTTTCTTTGTATTTTTATATTTTATATTTATTACTCTTTTTCATTTCAAGTATAGCATATATTATAAAATGTTAATTAATACATTTTTAATTAATTAAGGGAAAAAGTTTAACAAACCTTTCCATTTTAAATAATTTAATTCCTAAACT